CTCTCCCCTGTCCCCACAGCCCCTCCCGCTGGAAGCCCCGCCCATCTACAAAGCCCCGCCTCCACACCGCGCCTGGCATACCTGCCCCGTCCTCCAGAAGTCCCGCCTCCACATCTCGCCCCGCCCCCACCGAGGCCCGACTCCAGGCCACGCCCGACATCACGTCACGCCCCGTCGGCAACGCCCTTCTCAGATGCTTGGGTCCAGAGTGCTAGCGCTGGTTCTTGGGATGGATGTCCCAGTTGGGGTCACCCTGTCCTTGCCCATTGCCACGGTGACCAAAGCCCTGGAGAGGCGAGGCCACCAAGCATCATGTCCCCAGTGGGGGTCCAGGCGGGGCCTCAAACCGGTAAGCGAACCGCCCCCTCTCCCAGGAGAATAAAGTACGTTTGCATGTAGGGATGATGAAGTTAGTAGTTTTCCCTTTCTATCATTTCCACCCATTAGGTTGGTACCTTTGAAAAGCCACAGAGATTATTGTCGGCCAGGATGTGGAAAAACTGGAATTCTTTTGCACTATTGGGAATGCAAAAATGGCGCCGCTGCTGTTAAAAAGAGCTTGTGTCCCTACAAGAGCTGAATACAGAATTACTGCATGATCCAGTGGTTTAGCTTTCGCGTATATATTCAAAAGAACTGAAAACAGTTAGCTTTATTCAGAAGAGCCAAAAAATGGTGGAGGAACCCTGGTGGCCGTCAGTGGGTGAATGGACAAACAAAATGTGCATCCGTGCAGTGGAATATTATTCAGCCTCAAAAAGGAGGACGATTCTGACACATGCTACATGGGTGAACCCTGGAAAATTATGCGAATTGAAATAAACCAGGTGCATATAGGATTCCAAATACAGTCATTAAATTCTGAGACAGAGAGTAGAGTGGCGGTTTCCAGGAGCTTTTGTGAGCAGATTAGAATATTGGTTTTTAGTAGATAAAGTTTCAGTTTTGCAAGATGAAGAGTTCTGTGTATGGAAGGAGGTGCTGACTGTCCAGCAATGTGAAGGTACTTAATGCCACAGAACTGTACAGTTAATAGGGAAGATGGTAAGTTACATGTATTTGACCACCATTTTAAGGACTGTATGATTTAAGCTTGAAAGTTATAAATATCCGTAGAGAAAAAACCAGCCAGCTATTCTTTGAGTCTGACTGCCATACTGCCCTACCTTAACTGGAAGTAACAGGCAGATTTGTGGCTAAAATGACCTAAGACAACAGCTTCTTACATATTGTATTATGTTCCTTCCAAGAGATCTTTCTGGTATGTCCTGTGTGTGCAGTATTTTTAAATGTTACATGCATGGAAAGTTCTCTTACCCTGCAGAGTCCTTACTAGCCTGTTAGAATTTCTAGAGCAGTAAAGGCAGGTTTGGCCTAAAGACTGAATATGCAAAAGGTTAATATTTTACTTTCAAAATCTATCCGTCAGTTCCTGCATAGAAAGAGAAACATGTTTGAGTTGACTTAAAAAAATTTAGTCCATGTTTGCAGTACACTGTGCTCACATTCCGCGTGTGGAGTTGGCACAGGTACACAGCACATCCCAATTCCCTTTATCCTCCCTCTTCCTTCCACTCCTTCACCCCTTCCCACCTGGAGAACATCCATCTTCCCACCTCCCATTATCCACACCCATTTTGCTGTGTATTTGTAATTTGGGTTTCTCATTCAAGAGAAAGTGCACGATATTTGAGCTTGTCAGTCTGATTTATTTCACTTAACATTATGGTCTCAGATGCATCCATTTGCCTACAAATGACTCAAATTTATCTTTCTTTATGGTAGAGTAATACTCCATTGTGTGTAGACACCACATTTTCTTCATCTACTGTGGACGGGCATGTAGGCTACTGCCAAGATTTAGTTATTATGAATGGTGCTGCTATAAATATGGATCAGCATGGATCACTGTAATATGATGTCTTTAACTCTCTCAGAAAGATACCTAGAAGTAGAATAGCTGGGTCAAATGGAATTTCTAGTTTTAGCTTTTTGAGGTATCTCCACACATAGTGGTTGTACAAGTCTACACTCCCACCAACAGTATAGAAGGGTTCCTTTTCCCTACAGTCTCTCCAGCATTTGTTATTAGTTGGCTTCTTGATGATGGCCATTCTTCCTGGAGTAAGATGGAATTTCAGTGTTGTTTCAATATGCATTTTTCTAATGGCCACCGATGTTGAGCATTTCTTCAGGTATTTATTGTATTGGCCATTTGTATTTCTGTGAAGTGTCAATTCATTTTAGTTGCCCATTTTTTGGTTTGGTCTTTTATTTTGGGGAGGTCTATTTTTTGAGTTCTTTATATATTCTAGATATGAGTTCTCTGTCTGAAGGATAGCTAGCAAATTTTTTTTTCCCATTCTGTAGGTTTGCTTTTCACTCTTCTGGTCATTTCCTTTGCTGTACAGAAGCTTTTTAATTTGATGTGGTTCTATTTGTTGATCCTTGGTACTATTTCCTATGTAACCAGAGTTGTGTTCAGAAAGCCTAGTCCTATGGCTTCAAGAATTTTAACAATTTTATTTTCCAGCAGGATTGTGTTTGTGTTTTAACATTTAGTTCTTTAATCCATTTTGATTTTAGTGTAGTACGTGGTGAGAGATATGGGTCTAGATTTGGTCTTCTGCACATGGATAGCCAGTTTTCCCAAAACCATTCGTTAAACAGGTTGTCTTTCCTCCACTACAAATTTTTGGCCCCTTTGTCAAAACTCAAATAGTCAAATGTGCTCTATTCTATCCTCTATTCATTTCTATTGATCTTCATGTCTAGACATGCTGTTATCACTATAACTTTGTAATATAACTTCATATCTGAGATTGTGATGCCTCCTGCTTTGCTCTTGTTATCCAAGATTGCTGTTGCTATTTTGAGTCTCTTCTGATTCCATATGAATTTTAGCAATGTTTTCTCCAGTTTTGTGAAGGATGCTGTTGGTATTTTGATTGGGATTGTGTTAAATCTGTGTATCAATTTTGGAAGTTAGGCCATTTTGACTATATTGGTTTTGCCTTCCAAGGATAGAGGATATATTTCCATTTTCTGATGTCCTCTTTCAGCATACTTTAGTTTTTATTATAGAAGTCTTTCACATTCTTAGGTTCATTCCTAAGTATTTAATTTTTCTTGGTGCTATTGTGAATGGTATATTTTCCTAATTTCTTTCTTAGTGGGTTCATTATTAGTATAGAAGAACACTTGATTTTTGAGTGTTGATTTTGTATCTTGCTACATTACTGGATTTGATTATTCTAAGAGTGTTTTGGCATTTTTGGAGGACTTTTATGTAGAGGATCATGTCATCGGTAAATAATGCTAGTCTGATTTCTTATTTTCCTATACATATCTCTTCTGTTATTTTTTTGTTTTGTTTGCCTATTTGCTGATGCTAATCTTCTGGGTACCATATTTAGCAGGAGTGGTGATAGTGAACATCCATGTCTCGTTCCTGTTTTTAGAGGGAAAGCTTTCAGTTTTTCCCATTTAATATGATGTTAACAATAGGTTTGTCATGACTGGTGTTATCAGATTAAGATAAGGTCCTTCTATACCTACTTTCTTTCCTCTTTATCCTGAGAGGATGTCTATCAAAGGCTTTTTCTGTGTCTGTTGAGTTGATCATGTGGTTTTTGTTCTGGCTTCTGTAAGTGATGTATTACATTTGTTGATTTGAATATGTAGAGCTATCCTTGCAGCCCTGGGTTGAAACCTACTTGGTCATGATGTATGATCTTTTTGATGATTTGATGCATTGTTTGCTAGTATCTTGTTGAAGATTTTTGCACCTGTATTCTCTAAAGTGATGGCTGAAAGTTCTCTTTTTTAGTCTGATTTTGAACAGGGCAATGCAAGTTTTTGTAGAATTCAGCAAAGAATCTGTCTGGACATGGGCTTGTTTTATTTGGTAGGGTTTATTATTATTATTACTAGTGCTTCCATTTCATTGCCTGTTATTGGTTTGGTGTTTTTGTTTGTTTTTTGGTAACAAGGATCAAACTCAGGACCTTGTGCTTGTGAGGCAGGCGCGGTGCCACTGAGCTAAATCCCCAGATGTTATTAGATTATTTGGGGTTTTTTAAACTTCTTGGTTTGGTTATAATTCATATGTATCTAGGAATCTATCCATTTCTTCTTTATTCTCCAATTTATTGGCATATAGGTTCAAGAAGTACAGTAAGTCTCCCTCTTACCATTCTGGCAGAATGTTCCTGAGTCAGATTTGTTGGCAAGTCTGACAAAGTGAGTCTTATACTGTATTTGTACTTTTGCTCATGGTCATTGCTTTGCACTTCCTAGCATCCCCTCCACATCACCACTGCTTTTCTCTTGCTTCCAGACATCCTGGTCTCTGATTGAGCACTGTACTACTGTACACCATTGCACTGTACAGTGAGCACACAGAAGCGCAACTGTGACAGTGTCTGACAGACACTTGAGCTACTTCTGTGATTTTCACATCTATAAATGTGAGTAATGTGAAGTCTATTTGTATCTGAAAATTTGCAACTTGAGTGCTTGTCAGGAACTTTAATTGTTGATCTTTTTTATTTTCACTGTCTGTTGTGATTTTATCTTTTTCATTTAAAATTACATTGGTGTGTTTTTCTTTTTTATGCTTAGATTAGCCAAGGATTTGTCTATTTTGTTTGTTCTTTGAAGAACCAACTCTTTGATTCATTGATTCTTTGGGGTTTGGTTTTCTTTCTTTTTTGTTTTTTTGGTTTTGTTTTATTGATTTCTGCTCTGACCTTATAATTTCTTTACTTGTATAGCTTTTAGTTTGGATTATTCTTATTTTTCTAAGACCCTGGAGTATACCATTAAATTATTTTTGGGGGGCTCACTCTGTTTTTGTGATGTAGGCACTCAGAGCTATAAAGCTCCCTCTTAAGACTGCTGTCATTGTGTCCCAGTGTTGGTCCCAATAGCAGAACGTACCCAAAAATGTATTGGCATCATTTTTTAATTCTAGAAACTAAATTTTGGGTTTCTTCCACAATTCATTGTTTTAAAAGTGTATTGTTTAGTTTCTGTGCATTTGCATAATTTTTGTGTTTTCTTTTGTTGTTTCTAATTTTATTGGGTTATGATCTGATGATATTCATGGTATAATGTCAGTACCTTTACATTTACTTAAGCTTCCTTTGTTGGCTAGTATGTGGTTTATTTTGGAGAATATTCCATATACTGCTGAAATGAATGTGTATTCTGTTGTAGGGTGGAACACTTTGTGGTTATCTATTAAATCCATTTATTTGCAGGTTTTATTCAATTGATTTTTTTTTTTTTGTCTAGCTGACCTGTTTGTGTTGGGGGGTATTGAGGTCTCCCACTAACATTGTTTTTGTATTTGTGTGGTTTTCCCTGTGCAATAGTGCTTATTTTGTGAAGTTGAGAGTGCTCGTTTGGTATATATCTGTTAATTGTTATCTCTTCCTGTTGGATTGTTCCCTTAACCAATATGTTAGTGATGTTCTTTGCCTCTTTTGATCAGTTTTGGCATGAAATCAACTATTTTTTTCAGGTTCCTTTGCATGAAATATTGTTTTCTACCCTTTGATTCTCAGTTTGTGAGTTTCTTGATAGGTTAAATGGGTTTTGTTTGGTGTTTTTGTTATGTTTTTTGGTAACAGGGATCAAATTTAGGACTTTGCACTTGCCAGGCAGGCACTGTGGTGCTAAGCTAAATCCCCAGCCCAAATGTGTTTCTTGTATACAGAATACCATTGGAATTTGTTTTTGATTCATTCTGTCAGTTTGTGTCATTTGATTGGAGAACTGAGAACATTCACATCAAAAGTTATTACTGATATTGACATATTCTTGTCATTGGCTCATTTTCCTGTTGCTGATTCTCCAGCTTTACCATCATGCATAACTGCTGACCCTACTGGGTGTATTTATTTAGACCTTTTGTCACTGTTAGAGCTTCATTGTCTCTTTCTAGCATATCCCTCAGAATTCTTTGGAGTGCTGATTTGGTGCTCAGGAGGCTCCTAGAGCCGTATATACACAGTAGCCCGAGCCAGGGTCTCCCATTATGATCCTTTTTCCCTTTCAAGAGTCATTTAGGAAGACAGTAACAGGACCAGTTTGAAAGAATTGAATTCCAGAAAGGGTGGATTCAAAGACCTGTAGTGCTCCATGTTCTGGTGCTTATGATGTTAACACATTGAAGGTATCTAAAGGACCAGTATCTTTCCAGAAATCACAGATTTAAAAAACAAAACATTTTCAACAAAAAAAAATTTTTTTTTTTTTGGTACCGGGGATCAAACTCAGGTCCTTGCACTTGCAAGGCAGGTGGTGGAACCACTGAACTAAATCCCTGGCCCTAACGAAATCTTAATGTTGACAAAGATACTACTTTTCCTGCTTCAGCTAATAAAGCTAAGGCTTTGAGGGAGTCTCCGAAGAGGGAATCTCAGAAGAATGATAAAGATTTAAGAGTTTAGAAAAAGAGATTTGTGTCCTTGTGGAGGAATGCCATCATGCTCAGGATAAGTCAATCCAGAGGATGGAAACTGCATTGGAGAAGATGGAAGCCAAGTTAAATGTTGCAGTCAGGGAAAAAACATCCTCTCTGCAAATAATTCTTCACTGGAAAAACAACTTACTGAATTAACCAGGACTAACGAACTACTAGAATCTTAAGTTTTCCAAAGATGGTAACCAGAAGAATATGAGAATTCTAAGCCTGGAACTGATGAAACTTAACTTGGTGGTCATGAATTTCTCTAGGTATTCTTGTGAAAATATTCTACTTCTCCATCAGTTTTGAAAGATAGTTTTGCAGGATTTATCAGCCTGGGTTGGAAGATTGGAGGTTGTTTTCTTTTCTTTCTTTCTTTTTTTTTTTGGAGACAGGGTCTCACTATGTAGTCGAGACTGACCTGGAACTATGTAGCCCAGGCTGGTCTCAAACTCACAGCGATCCTCTTGTCTCAGCCTCCCAAGTGCTGGGATTACAGGCATGAGCCACGATGCCCGGCTGGGAGTTGTTTTCTTTTAGGGCTTGAAACATTTTGCTCTAGGCTGTCCTGGCCTTTTAAAATTTGTGTTGAGAAGTCCACTGCAGCGCTAATGGTTTACCTTGTAAGTGACTCATTGTTTTTCTCTAGCCACTTTTAAGATTCTGGGGCTGGGGATTTGGCTCAGTGGTTTCACTGCCTACTTCACAAGTGAAATGGCCTGAATTCAATCCCTGGTATGGGGGTGGAGGGGGATTCTGTTCTTGTGTTGGACTTCTAGGCTTTTGACTATAATGTATCATAGGGAGTTTTTTTCTGATTGTGCTGTTTAGGGTTCTATATGCTTCTCTTATCTGTATGTTAAATTCTTTTCCCATATTTAGAAAGTTTTCTGCTATTCTTTTTTTTTTTTCCTTTTGGTATCGGGCATTGAACTCAGGACCTTGTGCTTGCCAGGCAGGTGCCTTGCCGCTGAGCTATATCCTCAGCAGGCGGAGTGTCTGACATCAGTTTGCTTGCTGTCATTGGGCAAGGGTTATTACTTGTCCCCA